TTATTGTCGTCGCCGGTGATAGCGATGCGGAACAGCTCTTTGAGACACAAGCGATGGTAGATATGTCCGCATTCAAGCACTTCTGTGTCGGCCAATGGCTTGATTTGATGCCAACATAGCGTACAGTTAGTGACGTTTCCGTCGGGAGCGGACATCCGTTGTCTCATTTGATGGCATTTCTTCCACTGTTTCTGCTGTTTCTTTGCCTCCTTTTTATAGCACTTCTTCTGCTTCTTCTCAAACTTCTTCGCCTTTTTCTCATCAGAGTCTGAATCGCTGGACGAAGAGCTCGACGACGACGTATCGGCCGATTGCCAGGGATTGCCAAATCCGTAGCCCCAGTGCCCGCCGTTAAGCCTATGGTGGCCGCCATGTAATCCATGCCCTCTTCTGTGATGACCAAAATGGTGTCCTTCGTGTCCGAAACCTCTCATACCGTGGAATCCATGGCCTCCTCTATGGTGTCCAAAGTGGTGACCAAAAGGTTCTTTGGGTCCGCCGGCGCTCATCCCATGACAGCCATGTCTGGGATCGTCCGACACGTGTCCGCCTTCTGTCGACGATCCGCAGCCTTCAAAGGGATCGAAGCGAGGGTCGGAGTGACCGAAAAAAAAAGGCCGGACATCCGTGTCCTCTATGACCGTGTTTTCTGCCCATAATCTGTCGGTTAAATAAACAAACATTATAATTAATCATGCACATTTTATTCTATTTAACTTAATTATTAGTAACTTATTAATTGAATACAAAATAAAACTTTTAAATTAAATCTTACGTTTGAGTTGAACCAAAGGTAACAAATTTTTAGAGAATTGATAAATTAATAAATACTCTCAAAAGTATTGAAAATATATATTCAGTTTACTTATGAGAAGACAATTCAAAGAGTGGTAATAATTTGAATGACAATTCTGTGCCCAAAATCAGCTCTTTTTATACCCAATGCCTGTTAAACAACAAATGCTGTCTCTATTGAGCGCCGGTAAGCGCTGTATCGCACTGTCAGTCTCTGCTCTCTTACACAATATCACAGAATCAGTGCACAGGAGTGCGAATCGCAATGATATGTACGGTCTGTTTGTCTGTATCGATGATTGTGCAGAATTTCCTATGTTTTTGTATAGCGATGTAAACCAATAGTGTTATGTATTTATGGCCTTGAATTACAATCCCTTATATACAGTATTGAAGTTGTTATGTAAGAAACGTATGAAAACATATAGTCTATACTTATTATGTAATGGTTTTGATGTTTGTATGTGTTTTCATGCATTTTTATGTCAAATAAATAAGCATTTTATGTCTTATTATTTTTTGTTTTATCCGATATTTTTCTTAATAATAATATGATTTATGTTTTATATATTGTTTGTAATGATGTGTTCATAAATTGATGGAGAATTTTGTATTGCAATGCATAACAACACAATTAATTGATTAATTCAACGATTTATAAACATAATTTTTATCAGAATATAATAACATAGATATTAACGTTAATACTGTATACTTATGTTTTTTTTAAATAAAAATAAGATTTTAAATTTTCTCACGAATAAATATCAATATTAGGTCTAAATTTAGATGCATTTAAAAAACATATTTTTCATAAATAAAAGTCAGGTCATTAATTTTAAAATGTGAAAAATATTTTCATTTATATTTCTGTAAATATAATGTTATTTAGCTTATGTTTTAATATTGATATCTATGTCTTATAATTTATAAGATATATAATTTTATTAGTTATAAAATAATTAAAACATGTTTGTTTCGGTACAATTAATTAATTACCATAATTTAACATTTATTTTAATTTATTAGTTTTCATTTAAATGTTAACAAAAAATATTTTTTTAACCAAATAACAGACAACTATTTTATTATACTAAACAACAACATTACAATATGATATATTAATTTTTGACAATTTAATTTATTTATAATTTGCAAATTTTCTTAATGAAAATAACCCACACATAAATTATTTAGTTGAAACAATATAATTCAATTTTAAAAAATCATGTTACATTTGTTTACTTACCTTGGCAAGGTAATTGCCAGGATAATTACAATTATTGTAATCAACCACAAGTTATAGTGTCTATTATTACAATTAATTTATTAAACGATTTATTGATCCAAAAATAAAATGCATTTTGTTAAAATTTACTTTAATATTATTACTTTAAAATATTGATGATGATGTTTTTACAATTTTGTGAGTTGTGCTTTAAAAACTATTGGCTTTAAATTTGTACTGTTAGAGAGAGAGAGAGAGAGTCATATAGATTTAATTAATGATTGTTCAAAATGTTTAGTTTCATTCAAAAGTACATTGATCAAATGTTAAGAGAGGGAGAACAATTCGATCCCATCCCAAAACGTGGTG